ACTTTTCCACTTCTTAAAAAAGGCACTAAATTGTGGATGTACTGAAGAGAAAGAAATAGAAATATTCACAGTTCCTAGTGCATTTTAAGAGCTGAGAGTTACTTCAGCAATACACCTTTCACAGCTTATCAGTATAAATATGTTAACAAGTTTCCATTTAAAAATGAGTCATCCCATCCCACTGGAGTAAGGAAAGAGAACTCATCAGATTCAGATTCTGGAGACTGCACAGGTTTAATTTACCTCTAAATCACTGAATTCAACTAGTTCTCATTTTTATAAGTAAAATTGTATAGTGGTATTTCAAAAGTACTTCAACTTTGTGTTATAACAAAAGTTACCATCCTAAGTGTGGAAGATCTCCTTAGTGAAACCACTAAACCAGGCAGCAAACTTTACAGTATAGTAAAGCTACAATAAAGATTTTGAAGAACAGCTGTAAACTTTAAGGATTTCATATAAATTTATGAGACAAAAATACCTGAATAGAGAACACTAAACAGAATCATTCAAGAGCAGGACTTTACATTCCATTCATGTAGTCCGTATTCACATTAATTACCCAACAATATGCCTTTACTGCCTCTTCTCTCCACAGAAGCAAAGACTAAGCAAACCCTTTGCTTTTATAATATAGCAAATCCATGTGACTTTACCTGGCATGCTCTCAGTGCACTCTTAGATTAATCCCTTAATAATTTGTCCCCACCTGCTATGCACTACTACTAAATCAGGTCAGCCGTGGCTATCTGGTACCAAGCTGTGCACTATTTTGCTGACAGACACTCAAAGCCAGCTGAACACTGCACAGCTGTATTAAGTTTTTCTACTGTACTTTTTCTGCAAGACTCTCAGGCTGAGACTCAGCACCCTGCCACAGCTTCATACTTCTCCCAATTTGGATCTGGCTACAAGCTGCCTGGCTTGGGACCTGTGCAGAAGCTTGGGTGCATTTCATAGAATCACAGAATGGTTTGGGCTGGAAGGGACCTTAAAGACCATCAAGCTCCAAGCCCCCTGCCATGGGCAGGGACACCTTCCACTAGACCAGGTTGCTCAAAGCCTCATCCAGCCTGGCCTTGAACACCTCCAGGGATGGGGCATCCACAGCTTCTGTGGGCAACCTGTTCCAGTACGTCCCCAAATCTCCTGTAGGCCCCCTTTAGGTACTGGAAAGCTGCTATAAGGTCTCCCTGGAGCCTTCTCTTCACTCTGCTAAACAACCCCAACTCTCTCAGCCTGTCCTCGTACGGGAGGCCCTCCAGCCCTCTGATCATCTTTGTGGCCCTTCTCCAGACTCGCTCCAACAGGTCCTTTCTTGTGCTGAGGGCTCCAGAGCTGGATGCAGTACTCCAGGTGGGGGTCTCATGAGAGCGGCATAGAGGAGAGAATCACCTCCCTTGACCTGCTGTTCACACTTCTTTTGATGCAGCACAGGACACAGTCGACTGATCTGCAAACCAGTGTAAACCTTGAAGCTCTCCAACATTTTTGGCTAAATACCACCCTCAGTAACACTAGCATGGCAGCACAGGCACTTGCGCAAAGGGCAGCAGCTCCCAGATGGCACAGGGCTATAACACTGCTCTGGAGTGGCTGGCGTAATGCTAGCCTCCAGACCCCTTGGAAAATGTCTCATACATGCATACTTTCATAAGACTGAACAGCATAAAAGCTGGGACCAAGGACTACGCTGCAGCATCCTTTAAATAAAACATCCTCAGAAGAGGAGTGCTACAGAATATATGGGCTATAATGTGCAAGTTCAGAAGTGATAGAATTATGACCATCTTTTTATACCTATTCAAGGTAGGGTTAGACAGTAATACCACAAACAGTCAAGATAACTGGAAGAGGGAGCTTGTCAACAAGTTCCCAGAGCTAAAAGTGAAAATGTAGATCTCAAATTGCTGCCACTGCACAGAGAGTACAGCAACTGCTATGGATTCAGACAACTCATTCATATTCCTATGTAAACACCAGCAAGGCAAGAAAACATTAATAGTTGTACAGGAAAAATACTTAGAAGTACAACTTATGCATCTATACAAACCAGATATGATGGAAAAAGCCAGACTGGATACCATAAAGAAAAAACACCACTTCTACTCCATCAGAAATTTGAGCTTTTAATGAAAACTGCAGGTGAAGAAACTCTGGTCACCACAATTCCTCTCATCTTAAAAAACCCCACACACCCCCAACCCCAAGCTTTGACACAGAGACTTTAAGTAGTCAAAAAAATAAGGGGGAGGTTTTGTCAAACAATAGAAATAAAATAGGAAAATAAAAATAAAATCCCCATCTATTGCTCCTTTATTAAGCAGTTAGTACTGAAGACTGTTAATGCTCAGGCCCAATCCAGCAAATGAGGTCAAAAAGGCAGCAAAACTTGCAGAAACTTATCTCCATTAGTAGAGACAGGAATAAGTGAAGAACTATTCATGAGACTGTTGAATAGAGAGCATGTTGATTAAATACAGTGTGGCCAAAATGAAGATGAAGCTTGTTTCAAAAAAGATAACTCAAGCTAGTCATTCACATTGCTGGGTTGTAAGTTAGCTAACTGCTTCCGAATCAAAATACGTCAACAATTCACACCTCAATACACAGAAGCTGTTTACAGAGGATGAGGTAACAAAAAGAAAAAAAAAAAAGATAAACCCATTAAAATATAAAGCATATGGTAAAAGTTCCTCTTACACATCTATTTGACTTAGTTCTAAGCTAGTGAGACTAGAAAGAGGTTAGGAACTCACAGAGCTTGTAAAAAGGGACTATAAAAAAAGAAGTGCAAAAAAGGATCACAAGAGGCATATGAAGGCTCCTGGAACAGGAAACATTTCAGAAAAATGAACAAGGGGCATGAAAGAGTAATTGCAGTAATCAGTTTACTGAAAAGGAAAATCATTCCCATATATCATTTTTCCAAATACTACAAAGAGTCAATGAGACTGAAAAGCAATTCACTCAAACCTGAAAATGCTCATACAACATATAGTTGACTTTCTTAATGTCACTGCCATACTTAGTACATGCTTAGATTCACCTAAAGAAAGAACTAGGTATTAGAAGGCAAAACCCTACATTCTCTGCAGAATTCACTTATGAAGTTTAAGCAGCAGCCCACTGTGGAGTCCTTGTGTAGGTTGATTGTAAAAAACTGGTACTTCTCACCAACTTCCTAAGGAAAACTTCTATATTCTTAGAAGATAGCCAAGGGTAGGTGCTCTTCAGGATAATGCATGACCATTCTGGATTGCTGTTAATCACTGCTTTCCTTCATTAAGCTAGACCAAGCAGAAGTGCCACTGCCCAATTTTTAGTTAATGCACATACATAAAAATAACAGTTTTAAATTCAAATACAGTTGTCAATTCAGATAACCTTACAGAAATAAGATTTCAAGAATGTTGGAAAAGTAGTACATGTGTAGAACTTCAAAAATTGTACTTGCCTCTCAGGTCTGAGCAAGACTGCAATTCATTCACAGATGTACCAGTGCAGTCTCCTGGCAGTGGTACGTATGGTTTACACCACACCAAGTCAGACAGTGCTGGTGTCTGCTTAACCTACACTAGAGTCATGCACAGAGGCAGCTGTACTACCACTGGCTGGAACACAGAATAGGTAAGGAACATGTTTTAGTAGCAAAAAGATGCCAGGAAACAGCTCCATCTTGCAGTTTTCATTAAAGCTATCAACAGACTTATCACAGAAACAAGTAACATGGAGCTTACTAGACAACACTGCCTCATATCAAACTGTCCTCTGCAGTCACAAAGTTTTCTTTTTAGGCCACACAAATTCCAAGACAAACAAATTAATTATTCACCCTATTTCACCTTGCTAAAGCAACACCAGGACTACCACCCAAGGATAAATCCAGTACTCCATCATGACATAATATCTTTTTTATTACAATATCCAAAAAACTGAGTATGCAAGATTTTGAGATCTAATGATCCCTTCTTCAATCTCAGGAATGTGCCATCTAAAGACTGTATATTTAAACCATAAAAGAGTTTAAATGTAAATAAAAGAGAAAAATGCATTTTCTTCATAAACATTCTGTGTGTCTTTTCCTACCAACCACACCATCCTCTGTAAAACCCAAAGATTTCTTTCTGTAAAGCAACTATATATATATATATAGTGTTGGTAGCCCGCCCTGCCCCATCCCAAGATCAGTTTTTATTAATCTTCTGTATTAGTGTCAACAATCAGCTACAGATACATATTACTTTGAGAATTAAATACATAATTTGTTTAATTCAAACAAGCAGAAGGGCAAGAGGAAAAAGCATTACGTGGATGGCACATTTGGTTGTAGATTACCAAAACATTCAGCCTTTACAATTCAATGATTCTTTCTCTAGTAATCAACTTTCAAATAAAATTTCTCTTTGTTGCAATTACAGACCAAAATACACTAGATAGTTTTCTTTTACTACAATCTTACCATAGTAGTTTAAGAAGTACTATTACAAAATGCTTTTAATTAGTGTACTCTTTACAAAGAGTCAGAGAGGCAATGTAATAGCAGAGTACAGTGTAAAGAGTGCTTCTAGAACTAGGAGTTTTTGTCATATACTACTCGGTAAGCGATATAGCTACAGAACTCACAGCCACACCTGTTATGTCTACTCTCTCTCACTTAAGTAGCTGCAGCTTCAGTGCATTCAAACTGTGCCCGATGTCTCTGAATGGAGAGTTCTGTCTGCATGAGCAATCTGAACAGATTAACACTGGTTTGAATTGAAAACGCCCCTCCTTGATCTGAGCTAACTATGTAAACGTACACAGGAGAGGGGAGTTTTGAACTCAGCTGGGAAGGTGAGTGCTTGCCACGGCCACCCAAGGGAAACTCTCAACCTGAAGAGAGGTGGTCAGAGATTAACAGAACTGGAACACAAAAAGAGGCAAACAAAAAATAAAAAAAAACCGAACAGACAAAAAAAAAAGGACAAACAGCAACCACCAGAGCAAACACTTTAGAAAGAGCCTATTCCGTAAGCCTGCTTCAGATATTGCTCTGCTCTATAAAAGTGAATTTAGGACCTAAGGCTTGTGAGTTATAAGAGGCCCAGGTGGCCAAGTCCATCTTCAATGTCACTGAAGTGCTTTCACAAGATATAGCTTTTCCCCGTGTTCACTGGTGAAGATGGGAGCCTTTTTGTAGTGTTCCACCAACTCATCCATAGTATTAAAGCGACGCTGCCCAATACAATAGACATTGTCCACGAGCTGCACCTTGAAATGTTTGTTCTTCCCCGACGCCTTTAGAGATACTGAGAAGTCACTGGGCTGTTGAGAATTCAAAAAGAAAAAAAAAATGAATTACATAAAAGTGAACAAAATGAAGGCGCAATTTTGTGGTTTTAGGAACAAACTGTGTCACATAGCTGATGGTAATTTATGCTAGTCTTTGTTCCACAGCTCAGTGCTTTAGCTACTTAAGAAACCCAATAGTCTATTAGTCAATAAATAATACTCATCATTATTAATGTGCAAAGTTAAGTGAGTTAAGTGAAAGCTCCCCAAATGCACAGCCTGAAGTTGCCAATTAAATGACTAAACTGCAAACATTATCATAGTTACACAATCTAGAAGCATGAGAAAGTCAAGGAGAAGGGAAAAACTTTCATCATGTATGGTCTCCTTGCTAGAGAGTCCTGGAGAAAGCAATTACTGCAATATTACTTGGGTGAGATGAAGAAAATTCCCCATATCGCTTTTTCTAGAGCCGTGACCACTAGAGGGCCATTCATGCCGTGCACTGCAAAAGACAAAAACATTCACTTTTCATCTTCATTACCACATGTATGGGGAATAATTTCTCCTATAAAGTACACCTTTTTTTTAAATAAAAAAGATAAAGCTTCAGAATGAAAACACAGTCCAAATCTCACCATCAAACCACTGCTCACAAAAGACAAAATTTAAGCCCTAATTAAGTTATTCAGGACAGAACATGATAAATCTCTTCATCTTGGCAACAGATTGCCTTAACGAAGAGAGTGCTGTCATCCAAACAGCCGGGATGAGAGCATTCCGCTTTGTGAGCCACATGGCGCTGTAGGAGGGTAGAAAGGACACACTGTCCCTTGCTTCCCACTGAACTCCATCTCTAGCCATCGACCGCAGCTGTCCAGCTGTAGAGATGGGAGTATGGGCTTTGCCCCACAAGATGTAGCCGGAAATGGGTGTCACCAGCCAGCAGAAAAACAGAATAATAAAAAATAAAAAGCACACCCCAGGGTTTGTAGCAAGGACTTAATGGAGATAAGTAATGCCTGATGCAACTCTGGAGGTCCTGCTGCAGGGTCTCTGCCCACTGAAGGCATGGCTTCAGGCAGAAAATGTTAAAGGCAGGTGCCAGACTTCAGAAGCAGCCTTCCTGCAGTCCCGGGTCCCACCCCGCACCCATTGCCACTACACTGCTGCTTTGGTTGGGCCAGTGCTGCGAACTTGAACTCATCCAGGCTAAACAAAACCCACAAGGAACTATCTGGTTCACAGCACCACCTTATGAACAACCCCAAGTGCAGCTGTGGCACATCAGAGGACTTGTCGGGTGGAGCGGGAGCCCCCGGACCTTACTGCTGTCACCAGACTTCAGTTCATGAAACCACAGGCTCCAGAGTCCTCTACACTGTATTTTGGGGGTCAGATACACACCAAGTGCATACCCAAGTAAGCTGAAGGACAGCATTTTCTCAGGAACACTGTCGTTTTTTCCTGCAATTACGTGGGTCTCTGCCCCATGCATCCCCTACCTTCTGCCTATCCCAAAATCTTGGCCCTTACATCTCCCCCTCACCTGTTTTAGTACCAATGCCTTCTCTGCCTTCCCTTCCAATTCCATCTGCCCTGGCCAGAGCAAACAAAGCTCCTGTTGTTCTTGTTGATATGGCTCTGGCCCAACACCCCAGGCTCGCACCTCGGCTTTGGGCAGCAGCTTTTCCCTTCTTGTGCTGCTCAAGCCAGCAGCTAGCTCCCCACACTGCTGGACTAGCCCTCTTCTGCCTCAAGCCACTACACTCCAGATCCAGAAGCATCACTTCTTTAAAAATTATTTTACGTAACACCCATAGGAGAATTACTTTTTCCATCTGTAATCCAGAGTCCCTGGTCCTTGGCAGGGTCAGTGCAGGCTCCATCAGGAAGGCTGCCTCAGGCACTGAGCAATTCCAAAGATCAAAATACACAGAACACCCCCCCGCCCCCAACTGCCAAGAGCAGATGACTGGGGATGGTGGGGGAAAGGGACGGAAATAAATCAGCATAACAGCCTATCTTTGGGGTTTCCAGTGTTCCACCCAAGATACATTTCATGCCCTGTCATTCATCCCTAGCTCCAAGTTTGAAAACTGCTATTTTAAGCCAGCTAGCTCTGATACTAAACCCCTGCCTCAGAAATATCACAAACAAGGCTGCAAAGAGCTCGCACCAAGACCAACCTATTTTCAACACCTCCCCTACTAGGTTAAAGCTAACCCCGCTGTACCAACACTGCACTGTGGATAAGACCCCAAAGTGCAGCCAAACCCTCCAGCAGCCATAACCACACAGGCCTGGGGACCTGTTGCAGTGGACATCTTTGCAGCAGCCATTAAACGGCAACAAAGCACAGGCCTGCACAAACACAGCTCTGCAGAAGCTCTGGGACTCTGGGCACATGGAGGAGACATTTAGGGCAGGGGCTCTGAACTGCACACTGACTGCCGTGCTCTAAACACAGGCCACCAGGCAGGTCCAGAGGGTCTCTTCAAGGACAGCATTGAGGGGAGCACTTAAAAGATAGCTGCTTAGGATTCAAAAGACAAGATCAAGTCTTGCTGACTAAGTTCTGCTGCTTCCATGGGCAATGCGTACGCCAAACAAAAACCAGTAACCAAAAGGCCCTCATTTAAAACAGAAGAACTTACAAATGGGAAGTTCATAATCTGAACCAAATAAATAAATTTATTTGGTTTAGAACAGGAAAAGATTTTATGACAAAGGCTTAAAAATAAGTTAAATAATCACTTTGTGCTCAGCAAAGCTTTAATGCTTTCTGACAAAGCACAGTTGTTCTCAGCATGTCCAAATTATGAGTTTTCAAAGCTCCTTGAGTCTGCTAAGAATCATTATCTTTAGACCAGAAAGGATATGCTAATGACACAGAGAGGTGCTGGAATGGGTCTTAGACCTCTGACCTACTGTCCTGTGTCCCAGGCACTGGCCAGACTTAGATCTTCATGAGGTGATCTCACAATACATCAAATACTTTTCCTGCCATTTTAATTATAACTTTAATGAATGAACATTCTCCTGAACTATTGTCCATTCTTCCCAGCCTCAAAGCTGCTAATTAGATTGATGCATAAATAGAATACACTATTATAGCTTATTTTCTCTAAAATACGTCACAAAGTTTATTCTTTTCACGATCTGATTTAATTAAAAAAAATAGCGGGAAGGCTGACCTAACTCTTTTGAGAACCATCATCCGGTGCAAAGAAATGGAAGAGCTCAACCAGCTGTTGCAAAAATCCTGAAACCCTTTATTGGCCTCAGTGTAGTAACTTCTACAGGATACAAGAACAAACAGCAAAAGCAACTGGACTTGCATTTGTTTTTATTTTGGTTCTTTCCCACTCTAACAAACATGCAAAATGGTTAAAAAGACTATTTAAAAAACCAAAAAACAACTCTAGACAAACTACTGCTCTTAATATTACCATTTCAAAGTATGCTGGGTCGATGCAGCTTGAATTGGTTCCCTGCTGTCCTCCTTGGATTTGCTCCAAGTCTGTTTATTTTATTTACTGTTTAAGCTATTTTGTTTTAACTGCTGGCCAATTTTTCTCCCTTCTCCCTCTTAAATTGTTACCTTTGGATGTTTGCACACTAACTTTTCTAGGAATAAAAGGCTCATATACACCAAATAAAGGTACATCAGAAGTAAGGTTTAACCCCTGAAATCTATAGAGGAGTTGATGATTCTGCAGTAGAATTAGAGCATAGCTTTGTGGCAGGGGACCTCTGAATATTTCTGTACCATAATAACCGGGAAGATCTTTAACTCAAGTTAAACTAATTTCCAAATCAGAAAATTTAAGATTAGCTATTATGCATCTGCAGCTCTTCAGGGCAGGTGTAGTATTTCTCTGAATTGTTTCAGATTCCTTTATTTTAACTCCTGCTTATGACTAAGATGACCTTACAGTAGCTGGTGCCTACGGCATATGGAAGACAACAGGTAAGAAGATGCTCCTTCAATTTTACTTCTTCGGTCAGGAACTTCACTGCCTTTTCCAAAAAGATGTAAAACTTTATCATGAAGACAAGTTATAAAGTGATGAGAGACAACAAGTGAAATGGGGGAAAAAAGTTCCCTCTTTACAACCTCCATTTGAGAATGAAACAAGACAATTTTATCATAAATAGCAATGTTGGGAAAAATAACTCCTTCTGAAAGTCTTTTACTGATCCTGTAACTTTTTTTTTTTCCCCTTTCAATCCAGTTCCACTTGGCAATGCCTTTCCTCCATGGAAGATATTTTCATGCACTCATTCTTCATACTATTCTAGAGAGACCCTTTGAGCTCCCACCTGTGAGCCTGCTCTGGAGCTTCCCAACTCCTTCCACTTCCCTACCCAGGCTTTCCCTCACTCCTCCTTCTACTCAGTCACCCAGCCAAAAAGAAATCATAGCTGAAAGGTCTAAGGTCAGGCTGGACAGAACTACCTGGGAGGGTTAAAAACTCCTTTTTCTACCCTTTCCACCTCATTTAGATATAAACAAATACCCTTCCACTCTATGTAATGTTCACCATGTTCCAAAATCAACGTTACACAGGTCAGAAACATGAATTGGGTCCATCGATCTTCAAACACAGCTCTAATAAGATTTCTATTCTTCCATTTAAAAATAAACCACTAGGATATTTCCTTAAGCCTGTTTTTAAAGAAACCTTCTCCTCCTTGCCACTGTACTCATCAATCACAGCATGTCACAGAACATGATAAATGCTTCAGTTTTTGAACAGTTGAGACATTTTATTGCTTCTATCCAACACTTGCAGGATTAAAACCCCATGGGACTGCCTGAACGCTACAGAATTAGCACCTCAAAAAGCATACAAGCTCTCAACCTGTACCTCCTCCCTCTGCTGTCACCCTCACTGGACAAAGAGCACAGAAGCTAAATGAGATCTCAAAGGACTGACAAATCCAGCCTGACATACAGTCCTCAGTATCATCTTAACACATCTACAATCATCAGTATCATCTTAATAATATACCCTGCGACCCCATTTATGACCAGTCACTATAATTTGATAGCTGTGACCCTATTGGCAGAAGATAGCCGTTACTTCCTGATGAATAATTGCTCCTGAAATCGTCCAAAAAATTGCATAGCTCATTCATGCTAACAGAACTGGTTTGAGAAAAACAGCATTTTCTCTGCTTCAGGTGAGGACATCGCAGGGCTATGAAGCAGTGGTGTCTGTCTAATCACCAGCTTTCCACCCCCACTTGCAGTTGAGTGCAAGGGGACTGCAAGTCCTGACAGAAGCTTCCTTTGAAGTCTGAGGGTGTCTGGAGCCGAGGATCTGCTCAGAAGCTAGAGGTGTGGTGTAGTTGCCTTCCTTCATCACCAGCCACAACCTGTTACTGCTTCCTGTTAGCTCCAGCACTAGCAAGCACACTTGTTTCCCCCAGTGAATCTGAAGAAACAAACCCCTCTTCCTTCCAAATTTGCTTTGGGGAGAGCCCCAGTGGAATCTTAGATCTTCAAAGCATGACGATCACCAACCCAACCCAGGCCAACAGTGTCAGCCAAGACTTGTTTGCCTTGTGTTAGGCACTACACACAAAGAACAAAAATCTGACAGCTAAAGAGCCTGCAATTCAAAATGCGTAGAGGTGGCTGTACAGAGATTGCATAGATTAAATCTGCATTAGTTGTTCAGGAGTGCTACTTAAACGAGACAATAAAAACTTCTGTTTTTATCAACTGAGCAGCCTAAAACAGAAAGAACAAACAGTATTTCTACCCAGGTATGTTTCGCTTCAGTCTCTTCCTTTACATCTCCAAAACTAAGGTGATATTACCTAGGTATAACAGAATTGGCAAAAACATTATCAGTAGGTAACCCTGCCTACTACATAAACTATGGGCTTAAATGGTTCAAACAAGTTTATGGTTCTAATAATAGCATTTTGTAACTAATTAAGATAATCAGGCTCCTAGCTACCTGACAAAGGTCATCTCAGGATATTCTCTACTATGGCAGCATCCCTTAGATCTAAGTGTAACTGAGGAGAATATTTTTGGCTACAGGAATCTGGCTGTAAGACAAACATCTGGTAAGTTACATCTACAGAAACACTGTAAAATCTTGCAACTACTAAAATTTGAAATGGAAAAACATGACAGTCTCATCAGGTGAATACAGAATAATACAAGCCTTCATCTATCCAATGAGAGCTTTTCATAGCTCAGTAACAAGAGCACAACTCAAAGAAATCTAAGGAAAACTTTTATACAGGTGACTTGCTAAACTATGGTGATGGAAGGCTATAGAAAACCCTAAAAGAGGTCAAAAATCAGGCATGAGATCAGCAGGATGACTCAAAGTTTTACCAATAGGGCCTTTTTAGAAGGGAATAACCCCTGCATCCACAGCTTTAATAGGTGGGTTCATAACACAGTGTAATGGGAAGTGCTGGTCTGGATGAAAGATGAGCAAACCAGAGAGTGACAACTTCACTCTGGTCAGTCTGATCTCTCTAATCAAGATCTTTCGCTCTTACCATGCAGAGACTCCTGGTGACTTTTAGCCACAGCATGAACAGCCTCTATAGTCACGCATGTGAAATATGGTAAGTGTCAAGAATTTGTTATTTCTAAAATCTTTCTTTCTTCCATATATAATAGGTTTGAAATAGATCTTTTGTGATCTTTTTCCCAATGCTATCAAGTATGTCCCTTTGCTTATTATATCACTCCAGGCACTTCAGAAAAAACAAAACAAAACAAACAAACAAAAAAACCCACCAAAACCCCCCCCCAAAATAAACTGGCAATCCCTAATGCTTTTATAATTCACATGCATAAACAAATTATATGATGGCATGACATATAAAGATCAGGACAGATAAATGTTTGAGATGTAGTGAAATATTTCTTTAAACTTAGTAAGTATTGAAACTCTCAAGCAGTACTAAGACAAAGGAGGCATTTACATGCATAACTACGATCTTTCTCATTGCTCAAAAACCCCAAATACAGGATCTGCAAGACCAGATCAAGATTAAAAGAAGAAAAAAAGGTAAGTTCCTAAATTCAGCACTTTTTTTTTTTTGCATGTATGCAAAAAATTTTCTGCAATATGAACTGAGTAAATTTTCTGGGATTCCAGTAAGTGTTAGATGCTGAAAACAACTTGAAGACCACATTCTGAATTAATCTTTGTGGTCCACAAGCAACAATTTCCCAAGAAACAATGCAGGCAGCAAATTTGAAACTGTTTTGAATACAAGTATGTTTAGTGTTATGATGTCATATTAAATTAAAAGGTTACTGCATCCTTTCAAGGAAATTTGTTTACTCAAGAGGCAGACTCTTAAGAGCAAAGAAACGAGCCACAGTACAGTGGTCACTGTGACATGGCGTGCACTGAGAAATGGCTGCGCTTTTTTTTTATTTTAAGTAATGTGTTAATTTTCAAACTGTCCTCCTGGCACCTTCCTAAAAGACAGAAGAAAATTTCCTTAAAGACACATGAAAATTGATAGCTACTGTCTCAGGATAATCCAAAATGATGCATCCAGATCTGAAAGGGAGCTTCTAGCTGCTGGAGGAAACACAAGGGTACACCACATCCAGTATACCCACCTGCTCCTGTCAGACAGGATGCTATCTTGAAGAGACAGCTGAACTACTGTAATTTAATGATTACCATAATCCTCTAGTGACTTTCTACATTTTAGAAGACTGTATGCCCCATTGCAGTCTTTTCTTCTGTTGACTAAACAAACTTGATTCCTCCAGGCCTCTGTAAGTCAGTCATGTTTTCTAAATTTGTTTTTCTTCCTGTTCTCCTCTGGTTTATTTGCATTTGCCTTCATTTCATGATTACAGTTAACTAAGAGCAGAAATAGGAACTCAATGACACAGCTTCAAAGAAAGAGTAGCTTGAAAACTATCATGTCTTCTGCAGAGCAGATTCATTAGGGAAAAAAATTTAATCAGACAATACTGTATCTAGAAAAAAGTATTCAGGACTATTACAGAATTGTAGTTTGTCAATAATGTTACATATGTTGTGAAGATTTCAGGGAATAGTGAGAGTCCTAACTTCAATAATAATAATAAACTACTACTGTTTTCAAAAAAATTAGAATGCAAATTTTGATTTGGATTTAGAAAATCCTACAAAATTAACAATTTCCTTGTCTTTCAGCTGTTGTTCTGCTGTCATGAGAAGCCTCTGTTCATCTCTCTCTCACCAAGTGCCAACATGCCAGCCAATCCCACATTTTAGTGTCATTATATTAAAAATGCAGGCTCTGTTAATTAAGAAGATGGATTCTGCTCATCTAGAAGGCTGTCTTTTAGTTTATTAATGAGTTGCGTTAGGAAAGTAGTTTTATTCTAAAGGGAGAGAGTATGTGCTACCTAATGAATCTGCCTCAATACTACCTCAGACTTTAACTTAATTCTTGGACCTCTTCTGAGTATCTGAAATTGTGATTTAGGAAGAACAGAATCAGCAAACGAAATGTGAAACATGCTTCCAAAAATGTATCAGGAGCTATAAGGATCCTTAGTTCCAGATTTGAGCTCAAGCTTAATTCTCCTTCTTACTTAAACTGTTTTCCAGCATGCAGTCATGCCAACACCTACTGAAATCACTTACATGTGGAACAACATATGGGAACAGTTTCCCCCCAATTTATAAACAATTATGATAAAGAACATCCCAAATTCTAACCAGAAGTGATATATGCAATCAATACAGCCTTCTGAAGACCCTAGAGTTAAGAAATCTTTTAAAAACCATATTATGGCTCAAACTGTGTGCAGTTGACACTGCTTTAGTTTTTTTTTGCAATCTACACTGTAAACCAGGGACAGCCAACAATATGGGCACAGTGAAACCCGATTCAAATATGGCACAGACATAGATGTCTGTAGCTGTATAAGGTATACTTATTTACTTATTTTAGTAGTACCGCATGCTCAAATTAGAAGAGAGAGCTAATATAACTACATTAAATTTTAATTTTTAAACATGAAGCAACAAAATACTTAGATGGATACATCTACTAAACAACAATTTGTCTTCATGGAATGGCGCTACAACTGAAACAATAAATGCAGAAAAGCCCTAATCACGAATTCAGATTTGATTTGCCTTTTTTTTTTTTTTTTGATAGATTTTCAAAGATGTAGTAGGGATTACTAAAATCTGTTACCTCTTAAAAATCACAGTCGAGGGATAATTAAATTTTGAGCACTCTAGCTATAAATTCTCTGGCCTCAGCATACATGAAAGGCCTTTCAATGTAATTTTAATTTTGAACTTTCAGAATTACAGTGATCCCTAATCAGGATAACTCATATCTCTCTGATGTCATCAAGGCTCAATTTACAAAGCATATGAGCTGCTGACTTGATCCTCTCTGTTGTGTATCGTAATCTTAACAACTAGACACAATAACAACTTTAGATTATTTAGGTTGTAATAAGGTAAGTAGAGCAGAAATACATTAAAATGGGATTTTAATCAATAGTTTAAAGAACCTATATTATTCAATTAAAGGCAGAACAAAACTGACCAATGCAAAGATCCCATTTGAAATTAGCTTTAAAATCAAATTAATAACCAAATTTGCAAGTCAGAAGAATTATTTATCTTGTAGCACTGCAAATTTGAGGACGATTTCATATGAGGAACACATGAAAAGTCAAACTGAAGGCTGAAATACTTAGTTACTTGTCCATTAATTAAGAAACCCTGGATAATAAATTGCACAGCTGTTAAATTTCAGTGTAAATATCACTGCATTTCAGTAACAGATTCTCACAAGCAGTAAGCTGTTGGCTGATAACACTGAAGCATCGCTTGCTTCTTTAAGGGTGAAAAGCCCTTTACTACAGATAGAGAAGCTATTAACTGTCATGCTTGCTAACCCAAGCATCGCATATTACAAAGCCTGCTGGGCTGAGCACCACTTACCGAAGATTCACTATCTCTAACAAGGAAGTCTCCTTCCACTCCCCTTTCGTTCAGGGCACATTCTGCTTGGTGCCGGGTAACATTCCCATAATACCACTCTCTTCCAGCAAACCGTCCTGTAGAAGATGGTCCCGTGTAGCTTATCTGAGGCGGATGGGAAGTGTTAATGGTAGGACCATCACTAATGATTACTACATAGTTTTTGGGAACAAGACCAATTTGACCTCTGGAATTTTTACATTTCCACCATTCTGGGTCATTTTCTGGCTTTTCAATGACTTCCATCGTTTCCCCTTTTTCAAAATTGAGCTCTTCTTCTGTGACGGAGCTGAATGGATACAGTGTCTGAACAATGTGGAGTACTTTGGTGCCCTGGCCATTACTCATGGAAGCGCCTTTCCTTAAGCTGAGAAAGCTCGGTGAATCTGCGGTTGCCTCCTCAACCTCCTCCACCACATAGTTCGAAGGAAACCAGCCAATCTGTCCATTGTAGCTACCTCTCCACCAGCCGTCGCTGCATTTCTCCATAACAATCACTCGGGATCCTTTAACAAGGGACAATTCATCCTCCCTCTCTGCAACATAGGCAAATTTCACATAGGCTGGAATGTTAAGATCGTATATCCGGTCGGCGCTGCTGCCGTTGGATGGGTATTCTGCATCCGTGCTAGGAGTGGGTGAGGCATCTCGTGCACTTGTCTTTCTCTTGGTTTTTCCCAAACCTGTTAAAGAGAGAAATGTAAAGTGGTCACTCAGAAGGCTTGTCCCCAGACTGCGAACATTGGATTTGGTGACACTCCTCTGTCACTTTAACAACACTACATAGTCAGAAAACAGCAACACCTTTAAGAGATTATCTTTAACATCCAGCTGATGCACCATTAGGTAAGGAGCAATGTGTGTTATAATGGCTCTCTGCCCTTCTCAGAAGTACAAGAGTTTTAACACACTTCAAACCAATGGTTTCTTCACTATGAGAACAGCTAATCACTGGAATGGTTGCGTAGCTTTCTGTTATGTCTCTTAAAAATCCAGACAAATTATCATGTCTTTTAATTTTAGTGATGGCTTTAATTTGGGTCAAGCAAAACATCAAAGAAAATCTACAAAAATAAACTAGCAAGGCAATAAGAGCTTAAGTTTCTCTGCAGATTACATTTTACTCTGTTCATTCTTCCGTCAGTCCCCAGGCAGCTACAGCTGAAACTCCTTCCAACTGCAAGCCGCCTTTTGAAATCCACCTCTCTTTAATCCACATTTCATCACATACTGTAAAAGGGTAAAACTGACAGTGAGGAAGACCATTTGCATACATTTCCCTATAATCTGTAAATTCTGATGTACTGTCACAGCTTTAATCATAGCATGAAATACAATGTACTAAAGAAACAACAATGACATTAAATATTTAACTTTTTTTTTCTTCATTACAGGAACCATGCTAATGTCTGTTTAAATATGAAAGAAAAATTGCACAAAACACTCGGTGTCCTTTTCAAACTTTTTCAGCAAGGACTGCTTAAGCTTATATATAGTCAGAAAGATAAAGTGAACAAGTAGCCCTCTCTTGTGAAATTAACTTATAAAAGTTCTGAAGAGAAAACAAAAAGATGAAGACTCAACATAGCACAAACCAAGCAATACCCAAAATGTCATGTAGGGGACAGAAAGCAAAAACCGACACAGAAATAGGAGCTTTTCTACCTATTTCAATGCTCCTAGAGCCTTGTGGGCAGGCAAGAGATACGCTTGAGACACCATGAGTACACACTGATTACAGTAGATTGAAAGGAAAAAAAAAATAGGACTTTGCTTTTGTTTCTTCAAATAATCTGACAGAAGGACATTAATGCAATTTCATTTTTAACAATTTAGGACTATTGTTATTATTATGAAAAGTACATTTTTTAACATATATACACACATATAGGTACCTGCACATACAATGAACGCAAAGCTGTTTGTTCAGTGCAAAACTATCTTGATTTCTTTCACAGGGTTAGCTGTACAGTACAAACAGTGCACACGCCACCACACAGGGTTTGCTAACCAGAAGGGTTAAATACATTAATTAATATAATCTTAAGGTCTCAGAAGACTACAGAAAATTCTGATGAACCTAAAGTGCTTCCTGACCTTCCTCAGCAGCCCCTCACTTCCTG